AATGAAATCATGGCTAATCTGATAATCTTCAATTCCATTTTCCTCCCTTTTCTCCATAACACTTGATTTCCTAACTGATTTGAAATCTACCTATATTAGCCTTGAATGTACATAATGACCCAGCCTTAACAGCCCACCTGTGGCAAAGAATTCCACCTCCTACTCTGAGATTATGCCCTCTGATTCTTGACTTTCTCACTAGGGAGAAACCACCTTTTTACATGTACCGTCAAGTTCTCTAAGAATTGTATATATGTGGTATGGAACGAGCTGCCAGAGGAGACGGTGGAGGTGGTACAATTACAATATTTAAAAGGTATCTGGATGGGTAAGTGGATTGGAAGGCTTTAGAGGGATATGGGCCAAATGCTCGCAAATGGGACAAGATCAGTTTAGGATATCTGGTTGGTGATGACGAGTTGGATCCTGTATGACTGTTTCAAAAGGTCGCCTCTCCTTTTTTTTTCAAGCCTATGTTCTGGCCCAGGAATCTCCCATGTTCATTTTCTCCTGACAATCCCTATCAAGTCTATTGGCACTGAGCTTCCACAAGTCCACATGATTTACGTTTTCATCTTCCAACATTACCCTGCTGAGTCCCAACCCTGCAGTTTAGGCATGCCAAATGTTGTGCTGCATTGTCCTCTTGTTAAAGTGGTGGTTGTAACCACTGACACATGGGGAGCAAATGGCGAGCCAGAGCCACCAGCCAGGTGCCCATTTTGATTTTAATTTTGAGAACTGTTGCCTTCTGGCCTGTCTCTGCAGTGTGGAAGAATAGGAAAATGCATGCCAATGAGGTGAGATTAGATACTAATGAAGCGCAAATGCATGAAGAAGCACTGCTCACTACTATATTCTTATTTTGACATTCAAAATGTGACTGGAGAATTGAAACGTTTTCTTAACATTTGAGAATCTCATTTCTTCCAATTTTCCATCTTCTCCCAACCAATTTGAGAGGCTGGGAAAATTCTGACCTTTGCAGTTTCAGGATTAATACCTTAAGAAGATTGCTTTAATTTTTTTTTAACAGCCTTTCTTGTCATTTAAAGGTATTCTTGACTTGCCATGGGTCAGTAATTGTTAAATCCAACTCTGAAATGGTTAATAATTTTGTAATGTTCTTGTACAATTAATCGTCCAATACAAACTTAATTGTATTTATTTACATATTTTAGTAACACGTTTTAAACCAATGCTGACAAAAGTGTCTCCACTTCCTTGGTGCTGTCCGAGTGTTGATTCCTTGATGGTCCT